TCTCTCTCTCTCTCTCTCTCTCTCTCTCTCTCTCTCTCTCTCTCTCTCTCTCTCTCTCCACGACTGGTGTGCACACGCACTCGGAAGGGGGCTTCCACTCCAGTCTGCACAAACCACCAGAGAGACATGCAAGGGCGATCTCATGTTGTCGCTCTGTTCAATCCGTGAATTTATAGCTCCGGACGAGGGCAGAAGATCCCACCCGCAGTCCGGATTTGAAGACCAGCCCCCCCTCCCCCACAAAACCCCCCAACCCCCCACCCTCCCCCCTGTGACTAGCCACCGTGGTGTCAGACCTGACACGACCCCTTTAATTCACCGATGGATGTGCCAATGCACGAGCAGTGACGGTCCGCTGACGGATGTGACAACCCCGTTATTTTAATTTTTCTTTTTCTGCGTTCCTGTTTTTCTTCTACTTCCCCACATCTGTTTTGTACCCTGTACCGTTTGTTACCAGCGTCTTCACTACCCACCACTTTCAAGGATTGGTGCTCCTACACCCCTCCGGTACTCCGCGGTCCGCCCGAATTTCGGGCACCCATCACACCAACCAGGAGCTGCATCACATCGTTCCCTTCACCCAAGGCTGATGCGAGTGCACCTATCTGCGTCGCCATTTCGCCAATGCTCCCGGCGACGATGGTCGCACCCTCCTTATTCGCCTGAGCAATCGTCGCCGTGCTCTATCCAAACCCGCCACGTACACACGTGTGGACTCAGCCATGGCAGCTCCCACAGAGGACACAGACGATGGGTCATCTCCAACATGGAGTCTGCTGCCGCTGGTTCACCTAAGCTTCGACCTACTTCCCGACGTGTCGGACCCTCCTCTGTCTGACCCTGCTTGGTCACTTGAACCTCCCCTCGTGCCTTCTGCTTCACCTCCACCCATGATGTCCGAGTTCATCGCCTCATCACACGTCCCAGACGGTCTTTGCAACATCCACTCCTTCCCCTGCCAAAGACGTCGATCGAATGTGGCATAAAGACCTTCGGCCTCTCTCTCCTCTTCGGTCATATCCCAATACGATTGATGGCCTGACCGCCCCACCTTATCCACAAGCAGTTTCAGCTTCTGTCCTTGGTTAAACCATTTTTTCCTGTACTCGTCAACGGACCTCATAATCCCTTCCTCTTTCATGCGCTCGAACACCCACTCTTGTCTCTCCCCCTTCTTCATGCACTTGTGCCTGGCGGACGCATCTGCCATCATGTCGTCATCCTCACGTTGCCATTTCGCCAACGCCAAGCACTCCTCCAGCGTCCAAGGCACTATCTTTTTGGTAGGAGGTTTTCCTTTACGCATTCCTTCATCAACTGTGGTTGGGTTGTCATTGGTCTCCTGCCCCCCTACGTCCTTTCCACTCCCACTTGCCTCCGCAACGCACGCAGAGGAGGGTGAAGTGCACCCTCCTCTGCCACGTCCTCCCTGTGCCGGCTGTCTTGCCCGACCGCTTTGTCCACTGCTGTCACTTGTGCCGGGGCGACCTTCACCTCGCCCCCTTCCCTCACCACGGCTGGCCGGTGGCAAGCCGGCACGCAAACGATCGACGGACTCGGACGACCCAGCCTCGACTCTGACCTGCTGGGGGGCTGCATGAGAGCACGCCTGCCCCTCACACACACCACTGCCACTGTCCACGTTCGCCACCATCGTCACTTCTCATTGGCCATGCCCCGGCGTTCCTCCCTGTGGCAATGTCCCCTGCCCACTCCCGCTTTGTGCCCCACGCCTCGATAAGTCATTCTGTCCATGGTTGTAGACACCGCCATTCCACTGCTGGTTGGATGTCACCCCGCACAACGCCGATGTGAAACTGCCTGCACCGATCGTGCTGCCCCCGTGCACGGGCATGTGAGTGGCAGCCGGTTGTGAGTACATAGCGGCAGACGAACTGCCGCGGCCGGCCACGCCCCCATGGTCATCTCGAGCATGGTAGAAAGATACATGACCCGGTCGCACATCTCGGAGGCCGGGCGGATTGTTCCTCCATGTCGGCAGTTGCCCAACAGCCGCGGGGAAGGTAGGAGGGACACCGAACTTGTGAGCGTCCTGACTCAGCATGGACAAGTGGGTGGATAGCGAAACGGAGTGCAAGCCTTGATACTGCGCCGATTGTTGGGAACTATGGCGAGAACGTCCCATACCTCCGTTTTCGCCGTCCTCAACCCAATGTTGTCTGTCCATGCTCACAAAGTAGATGACAATGCAAAAACAGCGTGACCTTCGTCCCCTACGACAAACGAACGAAAACGGCAACGCAAAAGGCGAGAGCGAGGAGGAGAACAACACAGGCCAGGAAGATGGCAATGACAAGGATGACCGACAACCCTAGCATGAAGAGGACTGTGGGATGAAGGGAAATGCAAGGACTACGGACATATGTGGAGCTTGCTCCCCTTCCGCAGCAGCAACAGATATGACCTCTGCTGCCAGGCAGGTTGATCCCCGGCGCCTCTGCTGTCGTCAATGCGGCAGACACACGTGGCTGCAGGGTCGTCGGCTGTTGTGCTGCTGAACCGGTTGCGGGTGGAAACTGACGTGGCCGTAGGACACGTCGGGCCGGAACGGGGGACTGGGAAATCGGGAGATGACTCCGACCGATGGCCGATGCATAGTGAGCGAGGAGCCTGCAACGTGGCACGCATGCAGGTGATGTTCTCGTCCGTCCTGAGGGGATGACGCCCCTCACGGTGATGTCCTCACGAACCTCACTGCAGATCGTCGGGACTCGGGCTGCCACATTTGGGAGACCGCCGCCGCGCACGCCGGCCTTGTTGCTAGTATCATTGACAATCGGATGAAGCAGTCGATGTCCAAGGTACGCTCCGCAAGCTGCTCCTACAGCTCGACGATGTGGAATGTGCGGTGACAGGGCCGCTATGATTGCATGAACCCTTTGCATGCCTTCGGACAGCCTGAGGTATGGCGCTTGGAATGATCGTGAAAGGTCGGCAATGGCTACCCGGCTTGTCGCTTGCATGGGACATGCACGAGACAGTCGTCGTTCGAATGGTCGATGCGGCGGATGTCCCTTTCCTGTCTTGGTTTTTTTTTTTTTTTTTTGGTTGCCGTTCACATTGTCTACAACCCTTTTTGAAAGAGGCTCCCGCCCGCCAAACCCGCCCAGCCTCCCCCTTTGAATTTTGAATTTGAACCGTTATGTGAGACGACGAGCGCCACCAGCGGGAAGGGAGCGTGGATGACCCCAACGCAAGGTGTTGGACCCTTCGTCGGCCTAC